ACTCTCAGGAGCTATTACTAGTCTCCAATAAACCTTTCCTGCTCTTAACTTCTTTTTTGCTTTGGAATTCATTCTTCCATTTCAGGGGACATGAACTCAGCACATCTGACATCTAGTAGGTTGGGAGTTATATTTCTCCTATATCATTAGGTTGTGTATTTAGGAGATGATTAAGTCATGAGAGTAGATTTCTCACATATAAAATTTATGACTGTGGGGTACCACTTCTGATTATACTCAAATCCCAGAAGACGGAAGTGCACCTGAGGACATTTAAGGACATAACCTCACTGTCAGGCACATGCTCATAATGGGCCACAGTTATCTAAGAATGGCTTAACATACTTAACCATGCACATTTGGCATAGGCAAGGGGTCATGCAGTATGTGTTTTGTCTCACCATGTCCCAGTAAGCTGATAAGGGACTATAACTGTTATGAACTAAAGAATACTGTTTAGCTGTTTGTGCTGTTCTTGCTGAACGAGTAAAGAGACACACAGCTCTTGAACTCTGGGGCTCTGGGGCTCTGGTGCTCTGGTTCCAACTCTACTGCTCTGATGCGGCCCTTACTCTGATAATTGGCTCTCTGTCTCCTGTTCTTTATTGGGGGAATCAACTCATTTATGAAGGACTATATGGATTAAAAGAATCCCTCTCCGGGTACCCTTGGGGAGGCTTGGTCTTCCCACCCCCTTTGTATTTTTTTTCTTTTTTTTTGAGACAGAGTCTCATTATGCAACCCAGGTTGGCCTTGAACTTATGGTGATCCTCTTGCCTCAGCCTCCCAAATGCTGTGGTGGACCACCACATCTGACTGCTCCTTAATTTTTTTTTAACTTTTTGTGGCACAGGAGATTGAACCCAGGGCCTTTGCACTGAGCTAAATCTCCAGACTTTTTTTCATTTCTTTGAGACAGAGTCTAAGCCAGTAAATTGCCCAGGCTGGGCTCAAATTTATGACTCTCTTGCCTCAGCTTTCCAGAATTCTGGAATTACAGGTATGAGTCACCATGTCAGTCATTAAGGAGAACCCAAAGAACTCTCTACTTCTGTCCTGTGAGCACACTGAAAATGATCATCAATGAACCAGGAAACAAGCAATCTCCAATTTTCTAGCACCCCAATCTTGGACTTCTTTGCCTCCAGAATTGTGAGCATTAATGTTTGTTGTTTAAGCCAGCAGGTTTATGGCATTTTTGTCATAGTAGCCTGAAAAGACTAAGATAATTGTTTTGGTTATCTGGAGTTCTGTGCAAATCCATCAATTTTAGGATCAGTTTTCTATGTCTGCAATAAAAGCCATTGGGATTGTGATAGAAAATATATTGGGTTGTAGATTGCTTTGAGTTACACTGTATATATATATATTTTTCAGTGTTGAGGATGGAGCCCAGAGCCCAGAACATGCAAGGCAAAGGCTCTACCAGTCCATTAACAATAACTCTTCCTACTTACAAACATGGATGTCATTCCATTTATTTGGGACTTAATTTCCTTTCACAGTGTTCCATAGCTTTCAGTGTATAGGCCTTATACTTTTTTGGTTAAATGTATTCCTAAGCATTTTGTTCCTTTTGATGCTACTGAGAGGAGACCACCCCTCCATGTGGAACTGCACAACTATGAGCTGTTACTAGGCAATAATGGGTTAACTGTGTTATTAAGCAACTATGGGTTAACTAGGTAACTGTTCTCTTTGTAGAAAGTACCTGAGTAGCCAGACATGTTCTGTAATCTGTCACCGAAGGAGCATAATGGACTCAGAAAGACCTGCCAGAACTCTTTGCTCTCCCCTCTCCACTGCTCTGCTTTGTGTAAATCTTGCTTGCTATATTCCCAGGGAAATTCCAATGGAATTAAGCTTCATAGATATAAAAAGAGGTATATAAGGAAGTGCAAACTTCTATTCAAGGCTCTCCAGACTGACAGGAGTCACTTGCTGAGCCGCTGGCATCTTTAAAAGCTGCTTTTGTGGCGCAGGCCATGGTCACAATCTCGCTGCTTGACACAGTTCCCGTGAAACCGAGACTATGGCTGAAACCACGACTCCATCTTTTGCTTTTGCTTTCCATGGTAGTGATTCCCTCGGTGCTGTACTCCCCGGGAAATCACTGAAAAGGATAAAAGTCATTATTTCGGAAATGGTTACTAGGCCAGGATTACAGGAAGAAATTGTAAATCCATTTACAGAAAAGCCCCTCACTCATACCTCCATGAGTAGTGGGGACGTGACATCCATAGGCCCTGACTGTACAGAGAGAGACTGGGACATAACAAATTCAGGACGCAGGCGCCCCACTGTCTGGCACCTGGTCACCCTTGGCCAACACCCGCAGGGCACACAACAATGAGATCCCATGAAACTTGGCCTAATGAGGTAGTGTGACCTTTCTAAAATGCTTCTTGTTCCTCCAATGTAAATCTGATAAGTTAGCAAGGGTTCACGTAGCACGGGGAAGAGTATCTAGAACTGGGTGGTCTAAAATAGTTTTTGAGACGATATCAGCTTTTCTTTAACTCTGTATGAAAACACACTGTGTATGGACCCACTGCTTACCAAAGCCTGTGTAATCAAAGTATATATAAGTAAAGTGATTTCGGTGTAACTCAGATGGGCAAGCTGAGCTGCCGACCCTCCACTCAGTGTCTGTCTCATTCTCTCGTCGCTGACTCCACACCTCCTCTCAGGACCTAAAGCCACTGGAGCTGGACTGCGGCACTTTTGCTCCTATGTTCGTGTTAAAGTGTTATCTGTGCTGAGGTCCTCAGTTTCCTGCTTTGATACTGCTATTGTGTTAGTGGTGGGGTTTGAACCCAGGGCCTCATGTGTGGTAAGCGTGTGTTCTACCACTGAGCTGCAACCCTGAGACAGCTCATCTCAATTCCCAACTTGATTGGATCAAGAGACTCCTAAAGACATGATTGCATCATGAGAACTTTGTCATTGGTAGAGTAACCCCTTGATGATATATATATATTTTTTGAGACAGGGTCTCACTGTGTATCCAGGCTGGCCTTGAACTATGTGGCTCGGGTTACCCTCAATAACTGACAGCAATCTTCCTGGTTTAGCCTCCTGAGTGCTGAGATTACAGGCATGTGCCACCACACCCAGCTTGATGTCATAATTTGATGCCAGTATTGAGAAGTAATGGGAACAGGAGATGGGGTCTAGTAGAAGTGAATGAGCCATGGGGTGTGACTTTCTTCAGCTCCTTCCTGAATTTTTTCTGCTTCCTGGCTGCCATGAGGTGAGCAGCTTTCTTCCACACTTCCATCCGTGATGCTTCCGCCTTGTCATAGGCTGAAAGTAGTGGAGCCAGCTGACCAGGGACTACACACTCTGAAACGATGAACCAAAATAAATCTTTTTCCCAAGTTTTCTCAGCTGTTTGCCATAGCAACAAAAAGTTGATTAACACAATCCCTACTTTTGCCATTCTCTGAATGTCATAAAAATGGAACATTAGCTTGCATCTGGTTTGAAAATTCTGACATACTGTATTTGTAAAAGTGCATACTCAGCCAGGTGTGATGGTGCATGTCTTCCAAGCTACTCAGGAGGCTGAGGCAGGATAACTGCTTGAGCCTAGGGGTTTGAGGCCAGCCTGAAATAACAGCAAGACCCCCCACCTCAAAGAAAAACAAGTATCGTGTTCACTGATTCCACAAATACAATACTTTCTTTTCCACTAAAAGAGGATATCCTCTGTAGAGTCAGAAGGATGGCAAGTGTGAACCCAGCCTGGGTAACTTAGCAAGGGATGTAGTTCAGTGCAAATGTCCTGGGTTCAATCCCCAGGACCAGGTCCCCCCAAAAGTCCCTAATGGTCTAGAACTCAAACTCCAATTTTTTTTTTTGTACTGGGAATTGAACTCAGGACCTTGTGTTTGCCAGGCAGGCACAGCACCAAGCTAAATACCTGGCCCTGGAACTTAAATGTTTAATGTGTACAGATTTTGTTAATCACTGTATATACTATCAAAATAATGTAAAATTATGCCAATGTCACACACCTCTCAGCAGGCAGAGCTTCCTAGTAGCTAGAGTGGATCAAGACAAAGATAACTATAGTGGATATATATATATTTTTTGGTACTAGGGTTGAACTCAGGACCTTGCACTTTCGAGGCAGGCGGTGGAACCACTGAGCTAAATCCCTGGCCCTGACAAAGGTAACTATAAGAGATCAAAGCCCAAACCACAAAAATCGTCCCAATTTACAGCCAGGGATTTAGCTCAGTGGTTTTGCTGCCTGCTACGCAAGCACAAGGACCCAAGTTCAATCCCTGGTACCAAAAAAAAAAAAAAAAAGTCCAAATTCTCATATTCTCACTAATGTGAATTATTGGCACTTTTATCTTTTGGTACCAGGGACTGAACCCAGTGCCTTTGCACTGAGGTACAGCTATTTTTTTTTTCTTTTAACCTTTTAAGACAGGGTCTAAGTTGATCATCTGGCACTCAAATTTGTGCTCCTTCTGCCTCAGCTTCCCTGAGTGGTGGGATTACAGTGTGTAACACTACCCTGGCTATTTGGCACTTCTGATGAAAAATTAGCTCCTATTCTTTTTACTTTATAGAAAAAAATTATTACTAATGACAGAATTATGTTCACCTCCTCACAGTATCTAAGGTGGACAAATATTTTGTCTCCTTAAGTAGCAATGAAATCACATAAGGAAGTGCAAATAATACAAAATCATCTATTTGGGATTTTTTAATTGATAATGCCAGTCATTCTGGATTTGTATACATTATTACTACAATTCATTACTCACTTCTCTACATGTGTGACCTTGGCAATCTTTGGCAATAGGGCAGGGACAGAACTACGGCTTAAATTTTGTTTTAATCATGGATGAAACATTAGCTTCATGACAAAATGCATTAAGTGCAAGAATAAAAATGAAACATGCCTGAGAAAAATATTTGAAACTGTATGCACATGCCAGTGATGAGCTAGAATGTTAAGATTAACTCGACAAAATTACAAAGTTGGTTTGAATATTCATACATGCAATGGCATATTTTAATATAACCTCTCAGGAAACGGGAAAGACAGTAATATTTGTTAATGTACAAGTTGCTTGAAAACAGTACAATATTTCTACGAAATATTTACAGATTTTGCTTCACAAGAAAAATACACATTGTTTTCAATCACAAATGAGCATACATGGAAATGTTCTGAGGGAGTGCATTCAGCAGTAACGAGAATCCATAACTGCCTGACAAGAGGAAGCAATTATCTTCACATGGAAGGAGTGGGGGAGGGCAGTCAGTAACACAGTAGGAAAGTGAACTCCTATGCAATGCTCGTTCTTTTTTGTTGAGACATGGTCTCATTTTGTAGTTCAGGTTAGCCTTGAATCCACAATGTACTTCAACCCGCCTTTCAAGCTGCAGCAATCCTCCTGCCTTAGCCTCCCAAGTGCTGAGATTACAGGCATGTGCCACCACTTCTGGCTGGTTTTCTTTTGCTGTGGAGATCAAATCTAGAGCCTTGTACATGCTGGGTACACAGTCCACCACTGAGCTGGGGGTGTAGCTCAATGGTAGAGCACACAATACACAGCCCTAGGTTCATTCCCTAAAACCTCAAAACAACAACAACCAAAAAACCAACCAACCAACCAAACCCCAAAGAACTAGTAATATAAATATTTGAGTTTTATAGCATTTCTTTCACATTTTGAATTTTCTAGGCCAACATATAGGTGAGGCTTTTCAGAGATGGCTGGATCTAGGGTGTGTGAATATCGATTAAGGGAATATCAGCATAGTTAAACCGTATTAGCATACAGGCTGGGTATTTAGCTCAGTGGTTTCACTGCCTGCCTTACAAGCACAAGGACCCGAGTTTGATCCCGGGTACCAAAAAAATAAAAAAATTGGATTAGCATTGTTCTAGGTATGGCTGTATTTACTGGAGGGAGGCTCCACCCTGATTGTGGGTGGTACCAATCAACAGGCTTACACCCACAATGCCCTGCCTTGGAGCCAACTGAAACCTCTACAAATTGTGAGCTAAAATAAGCTGTTCCTCCTTTTAATTTGTGGAGGTGTTGTTTTGTTCTAGCAATGAAAAAGCAACTAAGACATACATGAATTACTTTGGACCTAGAGCCCTACATTACTTATATTTATAGGATTTTTCCACAGTGGGAAGTCATGCCTGAAAACCATTTGTTGAAACTGAAAATGTTCCCCCATCATCTCACTGGATTTCTATCTACTGTGCAATCTCACATGTCTATTTAAGGATGAGAACAAAGTAAAGCCTTTTCCACATTGCTTACATTCAAAATGTTTCTGACTGCTATGAGTTCTCTCGTGTCTTTGAAAGGAACTGCGAAGACTAAAGGCTCTCCCACACTGTTTACACTTATAAGGTTTTTCTCCTGTGTGCATTCGCATGTGTCCTTGAAAGCTTGTGGGGTATATAAAAGCCTTTCCACATTCCTTACATTCATAGGGTTTCTCTCCAGTGTGAGTCCTTTCATGTATCTGAACATAACTAGAACAACTGAATGCTTTCCCACACTGTTTACATGCATAAGGTTTCTCTCCAGTATGAGTTCTTTCATGTGTTCGCAATGCACTGAGGAAAATGAATGGCTTCCCACATTCCCTGCATTTATAAGGTCCATCTCCAGTGTGTGTTATCATGTGTCTTCGAAAGTTTTCAAGAGAAATGAAGGCTTTTGCACATTCCTTACATTCATAAGGTTTTTCTCCAGTGTGATTTCTTTCATGTATTTGCAAATCTAGAGGATAGTTGAAGGTTTTCCTGCACTTTTTACATCCATAAGGTTTTTCTCCAGTGTGAGTCCTTTCATGTACCCGACAATAACTGAGGCGACTGAAGGCTTTCCCACATTCTTTGCATTTATAGGGTTTCTCTCCAGTATGCACTCTCGTATGTACTCGGAAGGCAGGGCGAGCGCTGAAGGCTTTTCCACATTCCTTACATTTATATGGTTTCTCTCCAGTGTGAGTTCTTTCGTGAATCTGAATGGAAGTAGAGCATCTGAAGGCTTTACCACATTGTTTACATTTGTAGGGTTTTTCTCCAGTGTGAATTCGTTCATGTACGCGTAAAAAACTGGGACGAATGAATGCCTTCCCACATTCCTTACATTTATAAGGTCTATTTCCATTGTGTGTTATCATGTGTGTCTGAACACTTGTTCGGGAAATGAAGGCTTTCCCACATTCCTTACATGTATAGGGTTTCTCTCCAGTGTGGGTTCTTTCATGGATTTGAATAGAACTGGGACAGCTGAAGGCTTTCCCACATTTCTTACACTCATAGGGCTTCTCTCCAGTGTGAATCCTTTCATGAATTCGAAGAGAACTGGGAGAACTGAGAGCTTTCCCACAATGCTTACATTGGTAGGGTTTCTCTCCAATGTGCATGAGTTCATGTGTTTGAAAGGGCTGGTGATATATGAAGGTTTTCCCACACTGTTTACATTTATAGGGGTTCTCTCCAGTGTGATTCCTTTCATGTCTTTGGAAGGATTTGAGATAACTGAAGGTGTTCCCACATTCCTTGCATTTATATGGCTTCTCTCCATATCGAAACCCATCAAGTTCATGTCCAGGGTGAGATTTAATGTGCCTAGTAAGGGATGAATGAAGCATGAAGCCCTTTCCACAAACACTACATTTATATGGTTTTACTCCAGTGGTTTTCTTGGTCCTAGTGGGATCTGAAATCCGGCTCAAGGTTTCTCCATACTGACCATCTTCTTTACTTTCACAGAGTCTTTGTATCAAATAACTTCTGTAAAAAATTAGAGGCACATTAATAATGGTTATTATTTTATGTTTATTAACAGGCATTAGTCTGATATTTTTCTCATTTTCAGAGAAAGTGTATGTTTTCTGCCTTGTTTGAACTGTTTGAAAGTGAATATACTCAATGCTCTGCAACAGGGACCCTCTGTACATATTATCAAAACATGTTGGGAGTGGTGGTGCATGCCTGTAGTTTCAGCTACTTGGCTGAGGTGGGAAGATCATGTGAGCCCAAGAATTTGAAACCAGTCTTGGCAACACAGCATAACTTCATCTCAAAATCAATAAACATATAATTTGCTTTATTTATACTACTAGTTTCCATTAGTTCACTGAAAAGAAAATTTTGTGGCATTAAAAAAGTAAATAAATATAAACAATCTCATACTCTAAACAGTGATATTCATATATGGGGTTTCTTTTTTTCCCCCTGGTACCGGGAATTGAACTCAGGGCCTTGCACTTGCCAGGCAGGCAGGGCACTGTTGAGCTACATCCCTGGTCCTTATATATGGAGTTTCTTAATATTGTTTCCAAGTAAAATATTTTTCAAATGCTGAACATCTTTTTCACTTAAGAAAACATTTTGTGGTGAAAATTTCCAAGAAAATAAATTTGAGGCTAGGGTTTCTTTGGTTTTCTTGCTTTTAAAATTTCAGAGTAATTTTCATGTTATAGGCTGTTTTAACATCCTATATACTATGAGTCTTTCAAGGGACACTGCTTTCTCCAGTATGTATAACTCACCTTAGATTTCTTCCTTGTTTTTTGTACTGATCTTTAATTTGCTGGTCCTCCCATTTGCTCCCTAAAATCAGATGCAGAAAAATCTTATAAATTATTAGAAATAATAGAAATGTTATTAGATCCTGGGTCAGTGTTGGTGAACCTATGGCATGTGTAATGCAGTGAGCTATTTGTTATCACTGAAAGCTCTAAAAGGTTCACCATCACTGTCCTAGGTCCACAATGAGGTAACCATACCTGGTATGTTTTACCAATGTATTCACTCTTCACATTCTATTTTTTGTGTATGTGAATTTTTTTTATTAGTACATGTTTGCAGTGCATAATGATCACATTCACTGTGGGGCAATGTACATGTACATACCACATCTTTTTTTTTAAATTTAATATATAAATATTTATTGGTACATTTTAGGTATAAAATACATTTACATTTATCATTGGGTGTTTGTACCAGAACATGATGTATCTTAGTGTTTATTTTTTCTCACATACCACATCTTAATTCTTTTTTTTTTTTTTGGTACTGGGGATCTAACTCAGGATGTTGTGCTTACAAGCCAGGCACGACACCACTGAGCTAAATCCCCGGTCCCATCTTAATTCTTTTTATGTCCCATTCTCCTTCTTTCCCCTCCCTCTATTTCTTGGTACCCTTCCCTTTTGGAAAAGATCTATCTCACTTTTTACATTCTAAAATGGGAATAATAACACTGACCAAGAAATATTTGTTCTCTGATTGGCTCAGTAAGGTGGTGATGTCATCCTTACCTATATAGGCCAGGTTCCTGAAGGTTTCCCACATCACATCTCTGTATAGCTTCTTCTGCAAAGGATCCAGCAGAGCCCACTCCTCCTGGGTGAAGTCCACAGACACATCCTCAAAGGCTACAGAGTCCTGAAATGTCCCACACATGCATACAGGAGGAATGAGATCAACAGCACTTGGGATCTATATTCAATTTAACAAGTTCACATACAATTCTGTGATTCTGTGGACTCCAAACATTTACTGTATACTTTTGGTTGTCAGAAATTTAAGTCTCTGGCTGGGGATTTAGCTCAGTGGCACCGTGCCTGCCTTGCAAGCACAAGGTCCTAAGTTCAATCCCTGGTACCAAAAAAAAAAAAAGGTTTAAATCTTTGTCCACAGTTACTTCTGTAAGTTTAACATCACCCAGGACACATGGACTTATATCCCTATCCCCCTTTTTTGTGGTACTGGGGATTAAATCCAAGCCTTTGCACTGAGCTCCATCCCTGACTCTTTTTATTTATTAATTTTTTATTTTAAGTTATTAATTTTCCCAGGCTGGGCTTCAACTTGTGATCCTCTAGTTTCAGCCTCCCAGAATGCTGATGTTACAGGCATGTACCACCAAGCTTGGTTTACATCTACTCCCCCAGTACTGATGAATGAACACAAAGCTTTCACACTGGGGTACCTATCCAGCCCTTTTTATATTTTATATTGTTTTGGTGACTACGGAGAACACTTATGTAAAATGGAAGAAGGATCAGCTGATACACTCCACTGCTTTTCTCTGCATGCTTTATTTTTATTTATTTATTAATTTTTTTTTTAGGAGCAAGAAGTGGCTTTATTGCTAGCAGCTCAGTAAGAGACTCCTGTAACTTCAAGAGAGCCAGAAGTGATTTTGCTTTCATTTTAATACTCTCGTATGTCTACAGGGCTTTTTCTCATTGGGAAATAGTAGGTGAAGTGACACAAGCAGAACAGCAGTTAATACAGCAGGAAACTTCAGTGGCCTTGAGAAGTTCTGGTGGGACTTTCTAAGACCATTATGCTCTGGTAACATTATATTAGAGCTGTGGTCATGGCCACTGAATGCCTTTCCCAACAGAGGGGTGGTTTCTTCTCTCAAAACCACCTCTTACTGGCATGAAATGTTTCACTATTATCACTCATTGATGGATTATCCTTTATAGGATCTGTATTTATAGCCCTAACTTTTTCACAAATTATAGACTCAGATGGGCTATAACCTGCCATCTGCCTTTCATTTATCCACATTAATAATAGCCTTTCTACCTTATCTAACACTGTAGATTATAACTTAATAATTTGAGTAGCACCATTAGCAATACTAGCTTCCTTATACAAATCTTTTCTCTTAAGACTGTTGAGATGGTGGATTGCAACTTGCTGTATGTATTAGCAAGATTGGTCACACAAACACCACTCTCATAGTCCTCCACAATTTCCTCCTTTTTTATTGTGGTTGCTTTCTTTACCTTCCCTCTCCTCCTTAGTTTCTTTTCTAGATTTTTTGGGGCATTTTGACAGCAGTAATCATAGCAATTATATCAAGCACAGACTCGAATCATATCCACAAACATGTGCATCTGGGCTCAGACTGATGCTTACATATGCTTAGATACACTTTTCTGGCATCATGAGTCTTTGTTTACAACCATACAAGCAGTTGGGAACTGAGTCTTAACTCAAGACTCTAGTCGTAAGTTAAAACTAAAAGTCCAGTTGTAACCCAAGTTGTTCATATGTGAGTCCCGTCATAACTTGAGGGTCCACTGTATTTAAGACTGAGTCACAGAGCAACTTCAAAATAACTTTATTTCAAGGTTTCTAGTGTTGCTTGCCCACAGTGACTGAGAAACAGCCATGGGACACAGTTGAGCACATGATGCAGATTAGACATAGATTCCTTGAGAAATTTAAGCTCAGGCTGGGAAGAATATGGGGACCTTCCCTCAATGGTGAAAATCCAGGCCTGGCACGTGTGGCTTTCATAAATGGCTGGGCTTGAAAGTGCTAGACTTAAGTATAGAGTTCTGCTTAACACTTGCTCTGCTGTCTACATCCAGCAAAGATCACAGGTCTGATTGCTTTCCCCATCTACCAATGTGAACAAGAATACACCTTGGCTTAGATAGCTGCCACAGCCTGGGGTGAACAGACAGAGAGCCCTCTGAAACAGTACGGTTACACCTCACACATTCACAGCCTGTAAAGCTAGGCAGAGAAAATTATGACTTGCTAGGTTCCAAAACTGGATTCTGGAAAGAAATCACTCATTGAAAAATACATTAGATTTTTGTTTCTTTCTTTCTTTTTCCTCTTTCTTCATTGGTTATTTTTTGGGGGGGGGTGTCTTTTTTTTTTTTTTTAGTTTTAAAAAAAATTCTTATTATTTCTTTTATTCTTTCATTTTCTTTGGTCTTTTGTGTTATGTTTATCTAATTCTATTAATTTACTTTTACTTGTTAATGGGATCCTTTATCTCGTTTCTCTCCTCCTCATCTTCCATTGCTTAAGTTTTGAAATTTTCTTTCATTTTCCTATTAGTGATCCCTCTATCTTTATTATTACAATAATACATCAGTTCACAAATGCTCCTGTTCATAAACAATTCAGTACTCGAACAAAAGTATTCGAACAAAAGTATTTGACAAAATTCTGCCTCTCTTCACAAACTTCATATCAGGTGACAAACACAACTACAGCTATCTTCCCCACACAAATACAAATACAGCCATCTTCTCTGGCTTCAGAAGTGCAAACCAGTATTCAAACTCCCTTAAATCTTTTAATTGGAATTGCAATAGGTGACCTTCAGACAGGTTTTTAAAATAAAGATGTCACAGAAGCATGGACACGCCCACTGCATCTGGACTGGGGTTCACCTCCGGTTTCAGGAACCCAGCCCTGCCCGGTGGCGGAAAGGGAAGTCTTCCTGCCCTGGAGCCTGGCAGCCAGCTCTCGGGGGAGCAGGGCAGGGCAGGGCAGGGCAGGGCAGGGCAGGGCAGGGCGGGCCCAGCCCACACCCACACTCACACCCTGCCCCCAGAAGCGCCTGTGGGCCCACACTCCCTACATCTCCCGTGGACCGCCAGCCGGTCTCTGCATGTTTTAACTTGACTAGGATCCAGCAATTTTAAATATGATTTCCAGATAATTTGTAGTACATTTGCACTAAAATAAAAATTAGTAGTTTGCATGAAGCAAAAAATAAGCATAAAAAGCCCAAAATACCATAACCATGAGAATGAACGTGTGAATAGATGGCCCATGGGCTCAGATCACTGCTTGTAGGAAATATACAGAGGCAAAGAAACTACCAAAAACCTTAAATATAATTCCAGGGCCTTGTAGGGAGTGTGTGTAGATGGGTAGTTTAGTGGTAGAGTACCTGCCCAGCATGCATAAGCTTCCTGGCTTCCATTCTTAGCACTGCACACAAACAAACAAACAAAAAACCCCTCCAAACCAAAACAACAAAACAAAAAAGGAAAAGAAAATTAGCCAGGCATGGTGGTACACAACTGTAAGGAGGCTGATTTCAAATTGAGAGTGAGACTCTGTCTCAAATAAAAACTATGAAAAGGATTGGGGAATGTGGTTTAGTGTGAAGGCTTTGGGTTCAATCCCTAGGACTGTAAAAAAAAAAAGTACAGAAAAGAACATAATTTTTCCATGTTTGTTTGAAATCTGTGTTTTAATTCAGAGTTTTGGCAACAAAAAGTGTGAACAGCCTCAGTGTATGATCAGAAAAGGCTGCTTACATCAACCTACCACCATGTATGTCTTTTGAAAAGAAAGGGTGGGGGCTGGGAGGTAGCTCAGCTGGAGAGTGCTAGCCTAGGATGCATGAGGCCCAGGGTTCCAATCCAGCAGAACCAGGGGAAGAAAAGCATTAAAAAGGTGGGTGGCATATAACTAAGAAAATAGAGAAGCATGGTGGTATATGCCTATAATCCCAGTACTTGGAGGGCCAGTACTGGGCAACTCAATGAAATCCTGTCTCAAAAATAAAAAGGCCTGGGGATGTAGCTCAGTGTGAAGGGCTGGAGTTCAATCCCCAATACTGCCAAGAAGGAAAGAAAGAAAGACAGGGGCTGTGGATTTAGCTCAGTGGTGCTGCGCCTGCCTTGCAAGTGCAAGGTCATGAGTTTGATCACCAGTTCCCACCCCTCCCCCAAAAGAAAGACAGGCAGGCAACTGGGCTCAGTTGTAGAGTGCCTGTCTTGCATGCTGCATGTGTGAGAAGCCCTGGGTTCAATCCTTGGCCCTGAAAATACAAAACGAGAAAAAAAAAAAGTAAAGTCTTTAGGAAAGAAAAGAAAAAAAGAGATTCATTATACTTCATCCCTCATGAAGGACGGATAAGTGAAACGGGGCATCTTTCAGTTTATCTGACCCTACATGTGCGAGATATGATGGTGTTCTGAGTCAGCAGTAAGGCAGGTGAATATTCCAGGGATGCATCAGACCAGACTAGACCAGACTTAGACAAATTTGTGATATCAGAGTATTTTCTAGGCACTAATTGGGTGGTGTAACTTCCATGAAGTTGGGTGTTGGGTAGGACCACAAAAGTAAGACCACAGTAATCCAAAATGAGGTGTTGTTCATTCAAGTTAAGAACAGGACAAACTGGGCTATTAAGAAGCAGCAGTGGGGCTAGGCGTAGTGGAGCATGCCTGTAATTGCAGCATTTGGGAGGCTGAGGCAGGAGGACTGCTGTGAGTTTGAGGCTAGCCTGGACTACACAGCAAGACCTTGTCTCAAAAAACCAAAAAAAAAAAGAAAAAGATAAGTGTGACCAAGATGATTTACAGGATTTTTAGAGATACCCAATTGCCAGCTTTTAAAGCACCTTATTTCAGACCCTGGGGACTGAGTCCTAAAAACCGTGGAGTCCCAAACTGGCAGTCACCTGGATTCCAGGAAAGGTGCAGAACACCTGATAATGAAGCCCCCACTGGAGCAATCACCCCTGCGGGGAGCTGAGGCAGAAGCTGTCATTTCACAACGGGAAGCAAACTGCCTCCCTCAAGGGTTGATGGGTCCTCCAGGACCTCAGAACCAGTCCTGAGATCCTGACCAATCGGATCACTGTGCACCCAGGTTTGCAG